TTTAGGAAACCATTTACTAATGTTTTGTGTGACTATTTGTACTGCGATTGTACTAACTATACTAACTGCTCAAATGACAGCAACGTTCTCACGTGTGGGCACAGATATCATAGCTGTTGCTTACAAAAATGTAACTTTAAATGTCTAATATATTTAGGCTATTTATGGGATGCAATCAAAAGTAATATTGAAGCAATAAAAGTAAGTATGATGAAAGATTTAGGTAAAAAGGAATTTATGGATGAGAATGTTGAAAGTGCAGATGAAGATGTTTCTGATGCTGAAGATGCGACGGATGACATAGCAGTGATAGATAATTTGTTAGAACAAGCGAAAAAAACTTTTTTGAATTATAATATAGATTTTTTTTTTTTTATTAAATAATTTTTTTTTTTAAATATAATGTATTTTAATAAATAAATTATTAAATATTTTATTATTAAATAATAAATTATACTCCACCAATAACGAGCCGCAATTTTCGTGCAACGTAACACGATCAGGAAAGTCGTCCGTCTCTCAAAAATTTGAGCGATTTTACTACGTATTAAAATTCACCAACGTTGCCCCTAGCATAAATTTGCATAAAAAAATTTTGGGCCGTGAGAGATTCTATAATTTCCATTTAGAAATATGATTCTCAATTTTGATAAAAATGTCTCTAAACCTCATTAAAGTATAAAATGCTGTTTCATCGTTGGGGGTGAGAAAACAAGCACAAATAAAAAAAGTTAGATTTTAATAATAATATATTTAATATATTTATAATAAAAAACGATTGATAAAAATCTTAAAGGGTTCATAACTATTTAATAAATATTGGCTTGCATGTAAAGGGGTCAAGTTTCATTAAATGAGCATTTAGTATAACAAGACAGAAATTTCCATTAAATGTTTCTTTAAATATTCCGTCAAACAATGATGAGTTAGAGTAATGTTGCTATGTCTAGCCGTCTAATGGTTTTTATCCGACAAACTCATATGATCATGAAAAACTTTCTGTTATTTTTTTTCATGTGTTACGATGTAATTATGTTTTTCCAATATTCAAAAAAAAAACACTCAGCGAGTGACTCCCTACCAATAATGATCATAAATTGTCGGATAACACCAATATTGGACGTTGGACTTTCAAAATCCAATGATTTTAATTGAGTCCAAGGTCCAATTGCTGTATTATATAGTGATAGTGATAAGGTCAAAATTTTGTAAGGGATTTTTTAGTACGCAAAAGGTTGTTTCAAAAAAGTAATTGTTTTCACGTTACACCTGACTTAAAGTCAATAATTTGTGATCACAATTACAATTAATTAAATAAGCAGGTGCTCATCATTTTTACTTAAACAAGTTGACGCAGGAAAATTCTAATTGTGACGTATAAATAACATTTAATTCATTTAATTCAATTTTTTTTTTCGCAAAGGCTATCGCTCTTTTTCCGAATTTTTTATGATCATGTTTTAAAGATGTGTGGTAGAACTTTATTGCATTTGGTAAAGCCTCATTCTTGGTACTTTAATAAAATAATGTTATTAGTCACTAATGAATGATGAATAGGCGCCGGACGTTATCCAACAAACTTTAGCAAGTTCCAACCTAAATTGTACGAAATGGGTTGATCAGGGGAAATATAAGCCATCGTAAGATTTTTTTAAAAAAAAATCATTTATTTTAAAGTGCCAAAATAACAGAATTTAACGCATGCTTCGTTTTTTTTTTAGATTTAATGTTGCTCCAACTTATTATGAGCCTGTTGTTCGTACAGACTCTGAGTCACATGAGAATATTATTCATTCTATGGTATGTACGTATGTACGTGAATTTTTTTGCCTACCATACTTATTTTAATAACTTGTTTTAATCATTGGTTTAATAGAAATGGGGATTAGTTCCATCATGGGCAAAGGACAAATCTAAATCCCCTACTTCGACACAATCAATCAATTGCCGAGATGATTCATTATTTGAAATAAGCGGAAAACCTATGTTTAAATCTTTAAAGAATAAAAGTCGATGTATTGTTGTCGCTCAAGGGTTTGTCTATATCAGATATGAATATTACTAATATTCGTAATCGATTTATTTTTTTTTTTAATGTAACAATTTTAATTCAAATGATTTATTCTTTTAGATTCTATGAATGGTCTCGTGAACACAAGAAGAAGAAAACACCTTATCTTATCAAAAGAAAAGATGAAAAGCTACTTCTTTTTGCAGGGCTTTATGATAAAGCTCAATTAGAAAGTAAGTTTACAATAAATGTATATATGGTATATTTAAAAATAAATGTAATTTTAATTTTAAATAATTAAAATTTTTATCCAGATGGTGATACTCTTTATACATACACA